CCCGGGGAAGTTTCGGCCAATTCACCAAGCCTGGCCCCCTTAGGGGGGGGCCCCGGGCCTTGGGGGAACCCCGGGCCGGGGGAAAAGGGGGGCCCCCGGCCCCATTTTTCCCCCTTGTCTCCTCCGCCAAGGGGGGGTTGGCTGCGGCGGCGGCGGCGGCTCCGGCGGCGGGGGGCCGGGCGGACCCTCCCTCGCGGGCTCCCTCCTCCGCCTCCTCCACCTCCTCCTCCCGCCGCGCCGCGGCTCTCCCTCGGGGCGGGGGGCGGGGAGGGGAAGGGGGGAGGGGCGGGAACCAGGGGGAGGGCGGACCAGCCTCGCTCGCTCCCTCCCTCCCTCCTCCCTCGCAATGGCGGCGGCGGCGGCGCCTCCTTCCTGCGGCCGCCGCGCCCGCGCGCGCGCACACACACACACACACGCACCCCCCCGCCTCAGGACTGCGCGTGCGCGGCGCGGGACCGCTGCAGGGGGATAACGGCCCCTGGGCGCGCGCCGCGGGAGGGGCGGTGCGGATAACCGGCGCGAGGCAGCGGGAGCCGCGAGAGCGCCTGCGCGCCCGCTGCGGTCTGGGACTGGGAGCGGGCGGTGCAGTGCGCCTGCGCCCCGAGGAAATGCCGCTCCTGCGACTGCGGCGGCGGCGGCGACACCGAGCGCGAGGAGACCCGCGAACGGGCTGAGGGAGCGGGGCGAGCGAGTGCGCGTGCGCGGAAGGGGCTGCCCGAGGCCGGCGCGAGGCGGAGGGCGTGGCCCGCCGTGGGAGCGCGCGTCCTTGCGCGCGCCGGGAGCAGCCGCTGCCGACCCCCGCAGCCTCGCGCGGTCTCTAGGAGAAAACTGGAGCGGAGAGGCATGGCCTGGCTCTGGAGGCGGGGGCAAAGGGCGCGATCCCGCTCGCGCGGGACCTAGGTAGCCAATGGGAGGCACGGGGAGGTGGGCTTGCCGCGCTAGCCGCGGCCCCCGGGATAACGGAGGAAGAGAGAGAGGGGGCGACGTAACGTGGGGCGGTGGGGCGGGGCCGGGGAGGAGGGAGCGCACCCAGGGAGGGAGTTGATTGGGCAGCGCGAGGAGGCGTGGCCCGCCGCAGCCCAATCCGAGCCTGGCGATTCGTCGTCCCGGAAGAAGGGGCGGGGCTGCGGAGCGCGTGCTCTGCGCCGGGGGACCTGCGCCTGCGACCCGCGTGGCGGCCCGACTTGCTCTTGACCCCGAGGTGGGCCGGGTCCCTGGGACGAGGAAGGCGGCCCGGCCTGGCTCGGCGTGCCTCCTTGCCCGCCAGCCCAGCGCCGGGCAAATGGCTGGAAGGCAGCCGGCGTTACGGACGCTGGAGGGGAGGCAGCGATGGGAGGGGCCGCCGCCGTCACCTTTGAGTCCCCCGAACCGAGAAGGGGTCCCTCTGGGATTCGTGCGGAAGCAGGGGTGGGATGGTGGGAGAGGGGCTTTCCCGGCGCCGCCGAGTCAGCCTCTGTGGAATGCATGAAGAGGTCTCTCTCTCAAGTTACGTGAGTGTAATCTCTCTGGGAAGCCCAGCACTCATGTTGCGGATAAGGGGGAACTCCTTATACTTAAAAAATGCTAAAACTCACGCCACGCACGAAGTTCAGTGCTCTACTACGTAAAATGACGTGGAGTCGAATTCTAGAACGTCCCATTCAATAAAGCTCTTCTGATCAAAGATTTTTCCCATGAACGTTTTTCTTCAGTTTAGCACTTTTAATGCATCTAGTCTGATTTTTACATATGACTTTTAAAAACTTTTGTAAAGACGTTTTGGGCTGCCAGTCAGGCGCCCAGGCTGTCTTTGCAAACATCGGTGATTTTGAGATCACTTGAGGGAACATAGAAAGCGGGGAACAGGAGAGACACCCCAACCTCAAATGAATGTCTTTATCTACACAGCGTTCTGGGTCTGTCCAGCCTTGCCAAGCCTGTGACACAGGCACAGACTTAGCCCACCGCGGTCCCCACTTTCCCTCTTTTGGGGTATCAACTCCACCTTACCGCTCAACTCTGTCTTGACATCACTTCCTCAGAGTGGCCTCCGGGATTTCGCCTGCCCCTTCAGTCTTGAATAAACAGGAACACTCTGTTCCAGGCAATAGTGTGGATTCACTTAACCCTCCCGACACCGTGTGTGGGAGAGGTTACACAGGTGGTACGTGACAGACCTGAGACTCAGACCCGCTCCACTGGTGACCGGCCGCACCCTGCCTCTTCATAACCCCACATCCGGGCTTAAAGCTCTATTGGGGCGGCACCATTCTACCTGTGAACCCTTTGACATCAGGAACTCTGGCACGTTCCCGTCTGTCAAATGACCCACAATAAATATTTGTTAATGAATAAATGAATGCCTCCCATGTCCAACGCAGAGGCCGGTTGGCACTGGGAGCCGTGGCACCACATAGACAAAACTCCTTGCCGCTTCTTCCAGGAGGTCTTCCTGGATCCCACAGCCTGAGTCCCCGACCCCCCCCCCCCGCCGCCCTGCCCCAGGCCCCCTCATCCCAGCCCACACCACTCTGAGTCATCCTGTCTGGTGACAGGTCTTTCTGTCCCTTGAGCCTGTACGCTCCGAGAGGGCAGGGCCAGGACCGAGGTGGTGACCGCCCGATGTCCCAGGCACAGATTGGAGCGCCAGGCAGGGGGAGCTCCCGAGGAGGAGGGGCGCCGAACTCCGCAGTTGTCTTCGGGGCTCGAGCAGGCTGGTGGCCACCAGCTGGTGTAGCCACCCCCCGCGCACCCGGCCAGCCTCCGCACCAGGATACACAATCGGCCGACCGAGAGCAGTGCCGGCTGCAGGCTTGGGCCGCTGTCCAGATTTCCCAAGCATCGGCCTGGGGAGCCCGAATGGCCGGTGGTCCGAGACCCGGCATGGGGTCCCGAACCTCGTCTTTAGATACGCACGCAGAACAACCCGCAAAAAAATAATTTTTGCAAAGAGGGCAGGGTCGCAGGGTCATAGTCTCCCCATTCCTGAGGATCTGAAAAAAATCGGAGGGTGGGGACCAGCCCTGAGCGTGACCGACCAGTCGGCGAGCCCACAGCGCCGCCTACAAACCTAACCGAGCGAGCTGCAGGTGGCTGAAGCGCCCAGCGGCCGGGGCGTGGCCGAGCGGGGAACTCTTCCGCCATTGGTCAGCAGCGTAGCCAATCACGACGAAGGACCCGGAGGCGGGGATGCTCAGATTCGCCTCGCATTCTCAGCACCGGGCTCGCGATTGACACTTAGTGCGCACGCGCTGATTATCTGCTGGGCGAGGTGCACGGTGAAGCTCTATGTTTATAAACTTGAAAAAAAAAATGTTTTTTTTTTTTAATTTATTTGAGGGACCGGCAGTGTGGCGTAGCGGATAAAGCCGCCGCCTGCAGTGCCGGCATCCCATAAGGGCGCTGGTTCGAGTCCCGGCTGCTCCTCTTCCGATCTAGCTCTCTGCTATGTTCTGGGAAAGCAGTAGAAGATGGCCCAGGTCCTTGGGCCCGTGCATCTACGTGGGAGACCTGGAGGAGGCTCCTGGATCCTGGCTTCGGATCGGCGCAGCTCCAGCCGTAGCGGCCAATTGGGGAGTGAACCAGCAGATGGAAGACCTCTCCCCCCCTCCCGCCTCTGTAACTCTTTCAAATAAATAAAATAAATCCTTAAAAAAAATTATTTGAACGATTCAGTCCCCAAATCCCCACAACAGCCAGGACTGGGTCTGGCCAAAACCTGGAGCTACAGGGGAGTGGCAGGAACTGAACTATTTGAGTCGTCACCTACTGCTTCCCAGCAGGAAAGTGGATTGGCGGCAGAACCAGGATTGGGACCCAAGAACTCCAATGTGGGATGTGGGCATCCTAAGCAGCAGCTTACCTGTACACTCACCCCATGGTTTTACAAAACTCAGATTCAAATATAACACACACCAAGAAGTGCCCACATTGCAAGGGCACAGCCTCATGGGAATTCACGGAGAACAGCACCGAGATAAAGATAAAGAAACACAGCGACACCAACCTGTCAGGGCCACCGGTCCCTCTCCCACTCGCTCATCCGGCCCCACCCACCTGCAGGTTCGTTTTGCCTGTTTTTGCACTTTACATAATGGAATCGTGGAGTTCGTGCTCCAGCTCATGGCTGTTTCGTCCCTCGCTGTGTGTCCACCTGCGTCGCTGTGTGTAGGGCGGACAGTTTGTCCCTGTTGCTCACTGGATCGCTGGTCACACGACTCACTCCTCTCTACACACTTGCACCTTGCCCCAGGACGTATTCACTGATCCAACCTCACACAGTCTGACTCTCAAATTCAGGCTCACCTTTTTTAATTTTTTTTTTAATACTGAACTCATGCGCTCCATGTGGGATGCGAGTATCTTTTTTTTTTTTATCTTTTTTTTTTTTTTAATTTTTGACAGGCAGAGTGGACAGTGAGAGAGAGAGACAGAGAGAGAAAGGTCTTCCTTTTGCCGTTGGTTCACCCTCCAATGGCCGCCGCTGCCGCCGGCGCACCGTGCTGATCCGAAGGCAGGAGCCAGGATCCAGGTGCTTTTCCTGGTCTCCCATGGGGTGCAGGGCCCAAGCACCTGGGCCATCCTCCACTGCACTCTCTGGCCATAGCAGAGAGCTGGCCTGGAAGAGGGGCAACCGGGACAGAATCCGGCGCCCCAACCGGGACTAGAACCCGGTGTGCCGGCCCCGCAAGGTGGAGGATTAGCCTATTGAGCCACGGCGCCGGCTCGCGAGTATCTTTTTTGAACGTGTTTTAAGCCAAGCCCATTTCTAGCAACCCAGTATAGTTTCTTATTTAAAAACTACTATTCCCAGGATGCAGTTCTCCCCGCGGGGTCGGGATTGAGTAGGAGAGGCTGCCAGAACTACATTTCCCAGAATGCAACGGCCGCCGGCTCTCATGCATGTCGGGAATTGTAGTCCTCTAGCGAGACTTTCCTCCCACAATTCCCAACGTGCACTTGGGCCCTGAATCGTTTGTAGGAAAAGGACAATCGCGCAGCCTGCCGGGAAGCCGACCGGACACTTTCCCCCAGCTTGCCGCGCGGGAGAGCCGTCCCATTCGTGGGACTTCAAGTCCCAGAGGGCTGTGCGTGGGAGGGCAGTGCGCGGGAGGGCAGGCGGGTCCTCCTGCCGGAAGTCCGCTCTGGCGCTAGGCCCCCCGACTGCAGCCGGAGCCGGAGCCGGAGCCGCCCAGTCGCCGCGGGACCTGGGCCGCTGGGGTCCAGTCAGGGGTCGCCATGGTAACGGGGGCGCGCCCGCGGTGGGGACGGGCGGAGCGGGGTGCAGGTGTCAACAGCCGGGGCTCGTCCTGGTGCTGACAGTCCCTCTCGTGCCGCGGACGGTCTGGGTCGGGCGCGGGCTCTCGGGATTGGGGCCAAGAAGGCGGCCAAGGGGGCCTTGAATCTGCGCTCGTGGATGCTCCGAGGTCTCGAGCCGGGGGGACAGGGGACCGGGATGCCAGCGGGGGCGGGGGGAGCTGTGCGGTGGGAGGCATTGGAGGGGGTTGGGGGCTTCCGAAACGGAAGCAACTCGTGAAGGTAGTAGGTGGGGAGGGGGCGAAGGAGGAGGACGGGAGGCCTGGGGCCGGGGGCCGGAGGGCCCTCCGATGGGGCGGTCGCCAGGGGCGAGGAGCTAGCCTGGCAGTGTGTGGCGGGGGGGTATCGGCAGCGGGACGAGATCCTGCGGGTGAGGGAGAGCAGGCTGAGCGCTGCAGACCGGAAGTCTGGAGGTTTTAGGGTCGGGGCGGAGGGCTCGGAGTGGGGGCCGATACTCCAAATGAATGGGGAGCGAGAGGGAGAGAGAGCGCGCGCGCGCGCGAGCGCTTGGGGGCTGGGAGGGAGGCTTGGAAGTGTGAGATTTGGGGAGGGGGCTCTTGGGGGCAAGGACTGAGCTTTGGATTTGGGGGCGCCCTTCTCCCAGGGTGGGGCTTTGGAACCAAGCAGGGCTGCTTTGGTCGGAGACTCAGCAAAGGGCACGAATGGGGGAGGGCGTAAGAACAGAGATAGTGACCCTTGGAACAAAGGGCGGCGCTCCTGGAGTTGCTGTGATGCCCCCGGACCCCCAGGCCAGAGAGAGCGGAGATCAAAGGGGAGCAGCTGGGGGGGGGGGTCTGGGGGCCTGGGGATTTGGAAGGTGGTGGCCGAGCTGTCCGGCAACCCTGCAGGCCGGTCTGGCTCCCCGCTGGCTGCCTGGCTTGGGTCTTTCCCACCCCCTTCCCTTCCTGCCCAGGACCCCCTGCCCTGCTGGGAAGTGGTTTTCCCTGGCTCAGCAGATGGAGTTCTTGGAAGGCCAGTGTCACTTCCTCTTCCTGTCGGGCTTGGGGGAGGGGGCAAGGAGGTTTGGGAAAGAAAGTGGACTCCCTGTGGAGTTTGGGCGGGGGCTTTGGACTCCTGAGCCTTGGAGTCCTTAGGCTTCCCTGTTCTCCCAGCCAGCGCGGACCCAGAGCCAGGCTTCCCAGCGGGGGGAGCTAAGGCCATGGCTTTCCCAACGTCGCATCGTAATTATAAAGCTATGGAGAGCTGGCACACACCTGGTGCTGTGCCTGGGGGAGGCAGCCGTCTGGCCTGGCAGCTAAGGTGCTCACGACCTGGGTTCAACGCCTGGCTCCGCTCCCGGCCCCAGCTGCCTGCTGGTGCGCACCTGGGAGGCAGCAGTGACTGGGCCCCTGGATGGAGGCCCCAGCTCCCGGCTTTGGGCTGGCCTGGTCTCAGACGTGGTGGGCGTCTGCAGTTTGCCAGCGGATGGGCGATGGGGGCTCCCTCGCTCACGCTCTTCCCTTCTTCTTAACTTAAAAAAAGGAAAAAAAGAAAAGGCTTATGGGAAAATGGACTTAAAAGAGAAGTTAATGTTGTTGTTGCCAAAAAAAAATGATTGGAAATCCTATAGTTTTTTCCAACATACACATTCTTGGTGAACTTTCTGAAGACCCCTTATATGCACGGATTTCAATTTTTTTGTGCCAAAATAAACGTATTTTTTTTTTTTTTTTTTTTTGACAGGCAGAGTGGACAGTGAGAGAGACACAGAGAGAAAGGTCTTCCTTTGCCGTTGGTTCACCCTCCAATGGCCGCCGCGGCCGGCGCGCTGCGGCCGGCGCACCGCGCTGATCCGATGGCAGGAGCCAGGAGCCAGGTGCTTCTCCTGGTCTCCCATGGGGTGCAGGGCCCAAGCACCTGGGCCATCCTCCACTGCACTCCCTGGCCACAGCAGAGCTGGCCTGGAAGAGGGGCAACCGGGACAGAATCCTGCGCCCCAACCGGGACTAGAACCCGGTGTGCCGGCGCCGCTAGGCGGAGGATTAGCCTAGTGAGCCGCGGCGCCGGCAATAAACGTATCTTAAAAAAAAAATTCAGAGTCAGAGCAAGAGAGCAGATGGACAGACAGACACAGGGCTGCCATGCACCAGTCACTCCCCAAATGGCTGCAACAGCCAGGGCTGGGCTGGGCCAAGGCCTCCCACGTTGGTGGCAGGGGCCATTACTGGCTGCCTCCCAGGAAGCAGTGAGAACCCGCCCCCAGGCATTGCAGGATAGGATACGGGGTCCCAAGGCCACACACCCCAGAGCTTAGCTTTTGATTCGATTCCACATGGAGCTTTTGAAGTACCCCCGTGTCACACCCCTGCCTTCTCTCTGACCTGGCATGTGAGCCCATGGGGGCCGCCCTCTCATTACCTGCGTGAGATTGGGAAGCCAAGGCCCACATAGCCGGTCACTGGCCGTGCCAGGATTCTGGCCCCAGAGTTTGTGCCGTTCGCCAGCTGGTGGCAGGCCTCGTGGGTGGCGAGGGCACTCTGGGGTCGACCTGGCTGCCCAGAGCCCTAGGAATGGACTTCCCAGCTGCGACTGCTGCCAGCCCCGGTACATGCCGGGCTCCGTGCTGGCCGCTGACGTAGACAAGGGGATTTCACAAAGGGCGTGGGAAGTGGATCTAAAAGATAAGTTTTTGTTGATACAAAACACATTTTTTTTTTAATTTTTTTATAGGCAGAGTGAACAGTGAGAGAGAGAGACAGAGAGAAAGGTCTTCTTTTGCCATTGGTTCACCCTCCAATGGCCGCTGCGGCTGGTACAGCGCGCTGATCCGAAGGCAGGAGCCAGGTGCTTATCCTGGTCTCCCATGGGGTGCAGGGCCCAAGCACTTGGGCCATCCTCCACTGCACTCCCAGGCCACAGCAGAGAGCTGGCCTGGAAGAGGGGCAACCGGGACAGAATCCGGCGCCCCGACCAGGACTAGAACCCGGTGTGCCGGCGCCGCAAGGCGGAGGATTAGCCTAGTGAGCCACGGCGCCGGCCCAAAACACATTTTTAACACTTCTTTTTATTTACCCCCCCCCCAAAGAAACCCTTTATTTAAGGAATACAAACTTGGTGCATTTCATAAGTACAACTTTATAGTGATTCTTCCCACCATACCCATACCATACCATGAAGATTTATTTAGTCATTTATTTGAGAGAGTTACAGAGAGAGAGAGGGAGGCAGAAAGATCTTACGTCTGCTGGTTCACCTCCCAGATGGCCGTAATGGCTGGGGCTGGGCCAGGCTGAAGCCAGGAGCCAGGAGCTCCATCCGGGTCTCCCACGTGGGTGCAGGGCCCGACCACGTGGGCCATCCCCTGCTGCTTTCCCAGGTGCACTAGCAGGGAGCTGGATGGGAAGAGGACAGCTGGGACTGGAACTGGCGCCCATATGGGACGCCCGCGTCACAGACGGTGGCTTAACCCGCTGCCACAGCGCTGGCCTCCAGTACAAAAAAAAGTTTGAAATGCGTGCATCCAAGCAGCGTCTCTCCTTGTGAGAAGTGAGGCACCTGGCTGTGAAGTTGCTGACCTCAGATGCCCTGGGAACCAGTTCAGTTCCCGGAGCGGGAAGCGTGGAGTTAGCAGGGGCCCAGGGCTTCCTCTCCTGGGCGCAACCGTGCCCACGCACAGACTCTCCCAGAGGTTCTAGCGGCCTTGCTCAGCGTCACCAAGACGCAGCAGGAACGGCCGTGTGCCCGGGGGAGTGGCCGGTCCCGCGGGAGCCCGACTCACCGGAGGGGCAGAGCCTGCGCGTGCTCCAGCCTGGGGCAGCCTGGCCCGCGAGGACTCCCTGTGTAGAAAGGCCTAGAACAGGCGGACCCGCAGGGACCGGAAGATGAGCGGCTGCCTGGGGTAGACGGGGGAGTGAGTGGCAGTAGCTGTGGGTGCTTCTTTCATTTGTTTGAAAGGCAGAGAGTGAGAGAGGGAGAGGGAGGTCTTCCATCCCCGGTTCACGTACCAGGCTCTGCAGCCGGCAGGGCTGGGCCAGGCCCAGGCCAGCAGCCTGGGAGCAGCCTAAGAACCATCAGCTGTCTGTGCTGTCCACGGGTCAGCTTCACGGCCTGTGGGTTACACGAAACAGATCACAGCCGAGCAACCTGCGGGCCCAGCATGGCGGCGCGGCGCTGGAGCCGCTTCCCGCAGCGCCGGCGCCCGGCTGAGCCGCAGTTCGAGTCCCGGCTGCTCCACTTCCCGCCCCGCTCCCTGAATCCTGAGAAGCAGAGGATGTCGCTAAACCCGCTTAGCCCTCAGCGCCCCGGGGGAGCTGCGGAGCAGGGGCCGCCCGCCTGGCCCGGCTCCCTCTGCCCTCCCTGGTGCGGCCGCGTGGCGCCCCCTGGCGGACAGAGCCGCTCACACCACCACCCCCACCCCGCCCGCAGATCCGCTTCATCCTCATCCAGAACCGGGCGGGCAAGACGCGCCTGGCCAAGTGGTACATGCAGTTCGACGACGACGAGAAGCAGAAGCTGATCGAGGAGGTGCACGCCGTGGTCACCGTGCGCGACGCCAAGCACACCAACTTCGTGGAGGTGACGCCCGCCCGGAGCCGCCCCGCGCCCCGCCCTCCCGCTCTCTCATTTACGCTTGCTGTGAACGGGCCTGTGTGAGCCCAGTGGGAGGGAAGCAGACTGCGAGGCCCCGCCCTCCAGCCTGCCTGCCCCGCCCCAGTCCCCCCCAAGCTTCCCAGCTGCCGGTTCCGAGCTGGTCAAGGGCTTTGCGGGTTCTAGAAGGTTCCATCCTTTATGCCCACGGCATTAGCCAGTTGGAGAGACCAGGCCCTGTAGGGTTCAGCGCGCTTGTCAGGGGTTCTGTGTGCCTGACCCTGTTCCAGCACAGTGCAGGCTGCAGAGAGCGGAGGTGCTGGCGTGGGGGAGACAGATAGGAACGGTGACAGAAGCCCGCAAGGCAAGAGGCGGCGCCGCTAGCGCGTGCCCGCAGGGAGTGGCGTGGAGGGCAGGAAGGCGGTGATGCAAGGTGACTTCTGAGCAAGACCTGAGGGAGCTGAGCACTGAGAGATGATAGCAGAGAGAAAGGGGCCCCGGGGGCAGCACGTGCAAAGGCCCTGAGGCAGGAGTGCCCCTGGGCCCTCCAGGGACAGGTGGAGTGAGCCAGGGAGGGGCAGGGAGGTGAGGGCGACGGGGTGTGAGGGGGGTGCCGCGGGGCCTGGGCGCCGCAGGGAGGTTGACCAGGGCAACGTGGGCCCATGGGCAGAAGCCAGGACCACTCAGGAGGGGGCTCCCCGGGGCGGGCAGACGGGTGGCAGGTACTGGTGACTGGCCCGGCACAGGCAAGGAGTATTTTGGAGGCAGAGCTGGGACCAGCTGTGGAGCTGTGGAGGAGAGAGGGGTGGGGGCAGCGGCGGGAAGGGGCTGTGGCTGGAGGCCGGAGGTGAGGAGGCTGAGATGGCCTGCGCTGCCTTCCTGGGCCCCGGTCCAGGAGGGACATAGGCCATCTCCGTACAGGGATAGCCGCCATGAGCAGGTACCTGACCCAGCCCAGGGGTCAGGGAGGGCTTCCTGGAGGAGGGGATGGAATCAGAACAAGAGAGAGTTGATCTCATCCCCCAACATACTCAGGAGAATCAGGGAGAAGAGACATTAAAAGAAAAGTTCCTCTTATGAGATGGAGACCCAGACAGGCTTCCTGGAAGAGGGGACTTGTGATGGAGAAGGAGGGATGAGATGGAGACCCGCCATGCACCCTTCCTGTGTGCACATCATAGGTGTTCCCTCATCCCCGCGTTAGTTCCCTGTGGCTGCTGTCACTGTTACCACGGTGACGGGGGCGGGGAGACAGACAGAATCTTCCATCTGCTGGTTC